ACACACTAGAAGAGAGAGAGAGATGGAGAGGAAACTGAGCAGAGGAGGATCTGTAGGAGAGAAAACTATAATTTCCCCTCTGAGTGATTTATGCTTGGTGAATTTTTTTTATTACCAGAAGAAAATATAGACCCGTTTTTTAAATTGTATTTGCTTAAAATGGGAAGTATTTCTTGGCAACAACTTCACGTTGATGAGGAAGGGGCACATAGATGTCACACCGCTTTTTCGATTGTTCATGGCAATAAGGTGTGCAGATCCCACACAAATGTCACATTAACATAGGCAAAACATGGAACACGAAACATAAATGTCACGGCAACACTGATCTGGAAAAAACTCCTAAGTCTAAAGCGAAAACTATCTTTTCCCCCCTTGATTTTACTTTCCTAATGATCCCAACCTGATCATTAAGCAATATTGATCAGAATTAAAGCACACATTTTCATGCCATTACATTCATCTGTTGTGAAAAGGCAAGTAGTTAATGAGCTCATTGAGTGATTATTGGTTATTGACCTCCTGGCCATTCATCTCCATTACATAATGCACAAATCTGCCCCTCACGGTCGTCAATTATGTGCATCAGTTTTCTGATGACAAAACACAGAGAATCGTCATTAGTATACACATACTGTAGCACTGAAAGACTCCGAGGCAATCAGCAAACGAGCAAAGAGGACACTTGAGAAATTAACTTTGAGCAAGAGCTTTTGATGTAAAGTGCAGGCAAAGAAGAACGAGCGGGAGTAGCAAAAAAAAAAAAGGTGGGAAACAGATGGCAATGGCCAATCCCTCATTGAATTTGTGAAACTGGAGAAAAACAATTTTAGTGGAACAAAAAAAAAGGGAAGTGTAGACAATGTGTTAAATTGAGCTGCAGGTTGCAGAATGTTGAAATACCAGGTTTAATGTGGCTAAAATGAGCTTTGAATGCAAAAGAAATCCCCAAACCTGTTCTTGGGTTAAAATCAGCCGCTGCTAAATGTGCTAGCTGGGGAAATCGTTTTCTGTTATAATTACTGGTCAAACAGATCAAAAAAGAAAGGGGGGAACTTATTCTAAGACTAAAGCAGAACTCACCTGTGACCATAGTTTTGTAATCCTTTTAAAATAAACTCCAATGAAAAACTGGTGCTCACTCCAAGTTGTTTCTTTTATTCATTTTTGTTCGGTAGTTGTGTTGAAAAAAGCACCATGACTGGAAAAGCACCGCAAGGAAACAACTTGGCATGACACTATCAGGTGTTGGTGAGTATATATATATAT